AGCAAGTTAGGCGTCAGATTAAAGGATTGAACTTACAGTTCCTTCACTGTCACTGGGTTAAATTCCTTGAATTCTTGTTTTAATAGCACTGTGAGTGCATCTATACCACATGGATTGAGATGTTCAAGAAGGTGGCTCATCACCGCCTTCCCAAGGTCACTTAGGGATGGGCAACAAATCCTAGCTTTGGCAGAAATGCTCACATCCAATGAAAGAATAAAAACAAGGCAAGCACATCTCCAGTCTGTGACTTACACATGTGCAATGCAATTTGTGACTTCTATCTGGAAAGCTATCTTCTATAGTTTGGATTAGGCCACATTGTTGAGGCAGAGTAGAGGGAGCTGTGCTCTGCTTCCAGCTGCACAATACTGGACTAGGGAGTGCCTGATACTGACAATGAATGCCACAACATTGAAATTAAATTGGCAGCATGGATAGTCCGAATTTTAAACAATTGAAAGAATTGCTCATAAAAGACGACTACTAAATCCTAAAAATAGAAATTATTCTAAATCCATGTCAGTTTTAATCACAGCAATCAATGTTGAAGTTAAAATGGCTTCGACAATAAGCTAAATTCTAGGCTAATAATAGTTATAAATTACACATGCCTTTATTTTAAGACCTTTCTGATTTGCTAAATTTGCATTTTAGGAGGTTAAATACCAACTCTTTGACCATACTTTTGGTTACCAGACCTAAAATCTTCCTAGGTGGTTTGGTGTCTTACCTTGCATCATAATGCTCTTGTGAAGTGTCTCAGGATGTTTTGTTATGTTAACGTGACTGGATAAATAAATGTTATTGTGGTTAACAGAATACAACTTAAGAATTAGGTGGTACTGAAACACTGGATAGAATCTGATAGGGGTATCAGCAATGTGGGCTATGGTGAGATTTCTGCAGAATCAGATGGCATCAGGAATAATTCACACCATCTGCGATGCAATTGACAAACAGTGTAGTAAGTTTCTTCTGAGACAGCAGCAAGTTGCCAACTGAGAGGAATTACTGCTTGTTGGCAGTCTAACTCTCCTCATTTATGTATAGCTTTCCATCTCATCAAACCTGCCAACAAGCTAGATATTGCAAAATCTCAGCATGGTCGTTAGGAGCCGGTACATGGTGACTCCAGCTCGCCACTTGCCCCAAGGGACCTCTGTGTTGGCCTGTCGGCACCAACAGCTCAGGGCATGTTCAATGTGCATCAAGGCACACACATCCCACATCCACGGACATTAGCATCTGACACATGCTAGTCTCTAGGATCCTCATGGCACATCCCTGATCCACTTACAGGATGCTTCTGCACTTCCATAGTGCACTAGCAACCATCACTGTTATACTCTCAAAAGGACATTTTATGCTCTGCGACACACACCCAGCTCATGGACTGAACCAGCCTGCATCTCTGGGTTCTGCACTTGCTTTCATAGCACTCGCTCACTCTGAGCCTATGTGGATGCTCACAATGTCCCTGCTTTGCTTTTTATTATGCTATGCCCCTCAGCCAGGAATATAGGCTTGTATTGCTTCTGCCTTGCCTTGCTGTTTAACCCTGACATAAAGGATGTCGTCAGCAGGCCTCAGTCAAGTCATAGAAACATAGACCAGGGGAAATAGCCATCAGTCTGGGAATCCTGGTACTTTAAGTAAAGAACAACGTTTGATATACGTCCCAGCTACATGGGCAGTCAGATTCAGGATCTTGTCCACTTTAGGGATTTTATGGACTAGACCAGACACCCTCATTATATTTTATGAAGGTGGCCTAGACTGTAACTTTTTCTTATATTAAAGGCAAACGTAAAGAGATGTGCTCCAGATGCAATTCAACTGGTCAAATTACTCAACATTAGGCAAAACACAATTTATTCAAACACTATAGTTAAAATACAACAAAAGAAAGAAGAACTTAGAATAATACATACAGTAACTATTACTAACTAACTGTTTCATTATAGTAGCATTCCATAAACACACCCTTTGGTAAAAAGGCAAATTCAGAAATCAGATTTTGTCTTACATGCAACCCAGCAGCCAAGGAAGAGAACCCCCAGCTTTTGGCTGTAATGGAGACAGGGAAACATAGCTTCCACTTCTTCAAGCCCACAGCAGCAACTGCTGAAAGCTAACTAAAAATCCTTGATCTGTGAGAGCTTGACCACACCTACTCAGGCTGCTTCAATTGTACCAACTTAAAAATAACCCCAAGGTCTCACCAGGACAAAACACACCTCTGAAAGCCCCAGCATCATCAAGGGGTAAGGAGCTGAATGTTGGGCAGTGCAATGCCCATCAAGATACTTTCTGCCTTAATTGTGCTTTCTTCCTCCTGGTAATTAGGCAAGTCAGAGGGCCTGCAGGGTTCGTGCAGTCAAGGGTTGTTGGGCAACGGTGAGTGGGAAGATGTTGTAGGCAATAGTGGTAGAGCACGTACCTTGATGGAAGGTGGATACAGTAGCAGTGTTGGTGGGGATTTGAGGTATTGGAGAGAATATACTTATGCTGAAGGGGTGAAGAAGGTCTTTGATTTTTTTCCTATATTGCTGTGCATTCCTCCAGACAGCTGAGACTGCACTGAATCCGGTGGCAATCTTAGATCAGGTCTGGTGTTGTGGCCTCCTCTGTTGGCCCTGGGGAAAAGGGAAGTTCCATGTCTTCATCACTCCATCCAGCAGGAGCTTCAGGTCTTGCCTGCCAAGGGAGGGACAAAGTTCCTCTGTCTGCCATGCCTAAGGCAAGTGTCAATACTTTACAGGGTAGCTCATTATTGACAATGTTGATGGTATGGGCGCAAAGAATGCTGGTGAATTCTGGGATATCTGCAGATTGCCAGCTGTTCTGGCAGTGGCATATGCTAAGATGGGGCTGGAATCAAATGTGAAGGATGTCACAGGGGAAAGATAGTCCATTAATGAGGCAGGTTTAGTAAGATATGGCAAAAAATCTCACTAGGGGAAATCTCTACAAAAAACTCATCACAACTTAGACTCAGCCCAATGTTTCTGTGTAACACTCTCTCACAAATATGGGTCTTACTTACAAACATGAAACCATACTGTTTCTGCACTGATTTCAATAATGTTTACCCATCTGATCTTTCTCATAAGGTCCCTTGTGATGATCAAAAACATGGCTATTCATATTTGTTCATGTCTTTTCATATTCTCCAGATAAATGAAAAATGATGACATTTTGCAAAATGCTGGATGATTTTATGAGCACAGATGATGGTAATACCGCATAAGTCAGAGCCTAGGGTGAAACTTGATCTGATAGATCATACTTCTTCAGTTTGGTTACCATGGTGGTCCTCTACTGAACATATTCACAAAGGTTGCCAATGTTCTTTTAATTAAAAAAAGAGGTTTACTATACAAAAGAAAAACATTGAGTATATATATAACAAACCATTTAAAAATATCTTAATATAAAAGAAAAAAGATTCATCCCTTTTCCTAAGAATATTCTTTGGTCACACAATCCCAGTGAAGTATCATCCCTTTCTTAACTGTTTATATTCTGACTCAAGTGACTCTTTTCAGCCCTTCACTGTGGACTACTGAAGCAGCTTTAGGTTTCTTTTTAGTCTTGATGGTCTAGAGACTTCTTTACAGCTCAGATGGCCCAGACAGATCTTTCTAATTCTGAAGTCTAAAGATTTCTGCCACGTTCACAGCCTACCTACAAACTAAACCTTCACAGTCTGCAGAATTCTACAAAACTAAGAAAAAGCCTTTCTGCTATGATTACATTTGTTCTTCTGAACTCAATCTACTACTGGCCCCTCACCATCTGTTTCAGTATCATAAAACTCAACTCTACAAAGATTCAGCAATTAACTCTCCAGGTAGCTAATTGAGTCATTGAATTTAAGTCACACATTTTCTTGGAAAAGCTGTCTTTAGTTCAGTGCTCAAAATGACTTTCTGACCTTTGTTTAAAAAAAATCACATTTACAGAGCTGAAAACAAAAATGTATTCTTTTTATCTACTTTCCAATTCAAGATCCTAAATCATAATACATCATAAACCTACCTTACAATAATTACAGATTGAAAGAAAACAGCTTCTTAACAGCTACATTGTTGGGTATCTCAGAAATATCAAGAAACCTTACATTGTCTTGCAAATGCAATGGATGCTATATCACTGAGGTAAACCATACAGATTTGCAGCAATATTCCAAGAAAATTAAAGGACAAGGACAGATGTAAATGCTCTCTAATGTCTTATTTCTTTTCCTGTTACTCACAGCAGTGACCAAAGTCAAAGTAAATGAAATTATGTGTTTATCACATGGATCTCAAGAATTCATCCCATGATTGCATTTGCTTTGTTGTTGACGAGTATAAACTGGCTTGAACAATGATATCACTAAATGTGTTGAAATGAACAAAATCATTCTCGTTTCCTTTAAGGATCTTTGGCACAAGATATAACTGAGTCACTAAACATAGCAGAATATACCTGAGCACCTCCGATTCACTGAAACCTTCTGTTCTTGCTATCACCAATCTACGCTTCAAAGGAAAACATGTCAGTTCATCTCCTAACAAAAACCTGGGAACTTGGGAACTTAATGGGCAGCATATTGTTGTAACTGTTGTGACACCAGACCAGCTAAGTGTGTTGACATGTATATTAGAAATGAGGAAAGCACCCTGGGGTTTTTTTTATAGTTTACTGGATCCCTGCTGTAGCATAAAATCACAATATGATTAACATAGTCCTGGCTTTGGGATCATTGCAAAAATTGCTTCAAATAATCACATTTCCAATATACCTTTTAAGCAGCAGAAATAAATAAGTGTTATATTGTGAACTTATCAGATTAGCAATTCAATAGGTTTTTGAATCATTATACTAGTTTGGTAGCTGTGGCAACATAGCAGACAATGGATTAGGGAGGAAATCTACAGCAAATATCAATAGAATGCAGAGCAGAATAAACTAAAACATGCTTGAACATTTATTATTTACGTTTTACTTACCTGCTCTGAGCTCATCTTCTGCAACTCTTCCTCCCACATCGCCCTGTTGTTGTCAATTCCATACGCTGGGGGTGGTGTCAATCCTTGAAGAATCTGAGAGTCACGGTCCTGACACAGAGATGTGAGGTGTCTTATGTACAGCTTCAGTTTACTGCGGTTCTGGTTCAGTTCTAATAGTGACTGGATGATCTGCTGGGAAGGAAAACTAAAGGTTGGAACAAGCCATCAACATTAGGGATGTGTTGCAACAGTAAACGTGGCCACCACCATTTAGAATAAGTAAATTCTGGAAGCCATCACCATAAAGTTGCGACTTAAGCATGAGAGGCGTAAGGCAAAAACTCTGCAATGCAGCCACATACCAAAATGAAAAAGAAAGAACATGAAATAATGAGTTATTAACACCCAACAGTTCACTAAAAATTATGGAATGACCCAAATTTCATAAGAACAGCCACAGGCTTCCTACCAAAACAAAAGCAACAAAATCAAGGCAGCATGAAAACAATCACAAACATTTTTAGAACAATGAAGATGTGATGATTTGAAATAGGATGTCCCTTTGGCTTGTTACCTGTAATATGAGAGTTTAATTTCTGATCATTTTGAATTCTTAAATGCTTTACTCTGTTCCCAGCACCATCATCACCAAACTGTTCTTCTCAAACAAGAAACAGAAGGTTCTAAATTTTGTATAGCATCTTTCATGACTCAAGACATTCCAAAGCACACCACAGCCAAAGTATTTCTGAAGGGTTGTTGTTTTTCACTGTACTTTGTAGTATCCAATTTCTACACAGCAAGGTGATCAATGATAGAATATTCCATTTTTGGTAGAGTTGGTTGAGAAATAAACATTAGCTAGAATATTGAGACAACTTTTCTGCTCTTCTTCAAAAAATCCTTGATTCACTGTTGCATCTGAACATATCCCCCAGTACTGTATTAACGGTCTGTTCTCTGGACCGGGCTTGAACGCATACTTCTCACACTCAGAAATAGAGGTACTATCATCGAGTTAAAGCTAACATTTAAAATTGGGATATTTTGCCCCAAACAAAAGAATATAAGCATACAAAGGTTGTAAAGTTAAGACTTAATTATGTATTGTTCAGTCTACATTTGGAGTTATGTGTTCAGTGTGGGTCACCAGGACAGAAAAGGTCATACGTATATTGGAAAGAATACCAAATTGAGGTGAGATGTGGCTACAGATTGGTATGCGTGTACGGATATATCAATTCAGACATTACTTTGAAACACATCAGGCTTGTAGAATGGAAAGACTTAAATTTACGTTAGTGAAAATAAAATACCAGTTATTATCGCTATTTTTAAAAAAATGCAAAGTGATAAATGCTTGGAATAACCTGTTAAGCAAGGTAGATGAAAGTAAAATTATTTAAAAAGAATGAATCCTTGACTGAAGGATTAGTGTTCCTTAACATTTGAGTTTAAATGCTTAACATCCTGCACATTCGCATATTTGTATCACTAGACTGTTATTTCAGAAACCCAGGTAATATTCTGGGAATCAGGGTTCAAAACCCGCCATGACAGATGGTGGAATGTGAATTCAATATATGTCTGGAAGTAAGGGTGTAATGATGACCATGAACAATTGTCAACTGTCAGAAAACACCCTCTAGTTTATTATTCCTCTACATAAGGAAATTGCCTTCCTACTTAATCTGGCTTATATGTGATTCCAGACCCACAGCAATGTGGTTGACTCTTAACTGCCCTCTTAGAAATTAGGGGTGGGCAATAAATACTGACCCAGCCAGCATCATCCACATCCCATGAATGAATTTAAAAAAGCTCCATGTATTGGATAAATATATTCAAGAGTTATATCTTTTGTACATTCAGAATTTAATCTCAATGAAGATGTCACTACAGTCCAGATCTTAGCTGTCTGTAAACAAGAGCTGCTTATACATGAAGAATAAAAGGGGTGGTTAGAAGTGGTTCGTTCTTTGTACAATTCTATGTGAGCACTAAGAAATAAAGTCCACAACAATGATCTATACCCAGAATCGAGAAGAAAAATTTTGATTCATTTGATTCAAAAAAATTGCATTAATGATATATACTGGTACTTGTACGATAACAGCTGCTGGCCTCAATAAGCTGTCAATGTACTTCTGACTACTATGTTTATTATGATAGGGATAGGGGATCCTAGCTGCAGGTCCTGATCATTTCCCAGTGTAAACTCTGTACACCCCTTAGTTTCTGTTTCTCAATATTATGAATGTAAGTTTGTCTCCAAAACAGCATTGGCAGCCCGTATGAAGCATGCCCAAAGGAAGCAACCCTGGAAATCAAAGTAGGTAGATTGTGATATCAGCAACGACTGAAAATCAACCAGCAATTTACCTGAAGATAGTTAATGATCTCTTTAAGTAGTAATTGTGGTAATGCGTATAATGGTGATTTGACACCAGTATTGCCATTTTGGTATGTAAAGGGATCATCAACTTTCAGGAGAGTGGATGATTGATTTGGACCGGCTGTTGCTGGGTTAGTAGAATTGTTTGGAGGTTAAAGTTCAAGTCTACAAGGAGTGGTGTAGCATGTGGTTAAAGTTCTTACTTCATGTGTTTGCTTAGATACCACAGTTACTACTTAAAGGAATCATCATCTATCTTCAGGTTAATTGTTGATTGATTTTCAGTAGTTGCTGTGGCAATTGTAGAATTGTTTGATGGTTTCTGGAGTAGTTTAAAGTTTCTAAAGCTTATGGGTAGTGGTGCAGCATTTCCAAAAGAATTCTGTCCTAACTTCTGCACAAAGCACAAGCTCTCAGATATCCATGTAGTCAGTTACATTCACCGAGACTGCAGCATGACAAGGAAATTGTGCAGGAGTAATAAATAACATGGCTATCTGCTGGCGGAGGGGGAGAGGGGCATTCGGCAGGCAGCTCCAAGTACTCTGTGTTCAAAGAACAACCTTTCTGTCTGAATCTCAGTGAGCAGTTTATCAGATGTTGGCGCTTCACTAAGGATGTTTTTATTGAAATCTGTCACCTGTTATTCCAAAGTTGCAGCCTCAGAGCAGGGTTAGTGGCTGTTAGGATTTTATGAACGATAATGTGCTTGGCTCTTCTCAGACTGCAGTAGATGAGCTTCCACCACAAACTAAGATTGGCCATTGAGTGAAAAGGCCTATCCTAATATAACATGGTTCATGACTTTGGTGAGCAACCCAGTAACATGTGAACAGCATGCAAGCAAGGTCATCAGGGCCAACCCCATGACATTGCCTGCCACAACCATCTGATTCCAATGCCTTTGCAATATTTGTCTGGACGGTTTTACGGCTCTCATTCTCCCCACCTCCTGCATTAAGGCCTTAGTGCAGTGTCAGAAAATACTACAGCTTGCACTCTGTCATGTTGCGCCATTATTGAGTGTGTCCCCTGCTAAAAGCACTTTTAGCAGCTTCCTGCACCTGCTCTAGAAACAAGGCACCTCCCCTTCAAGAGGCTGGCTTTAAATATTGCAGGAAGCTGCAAGTGGTACTAGCCTCTCACAATTTTGCATCCCTTGCCAGGTGCACTCAGAATTGGCCGCACACTGCGATCACTTAAATCAGTGATTCTTATGCTTGTCTAATTTCACAGCCAGAGCCTGTTATATCTACAGAAGATGAGGTTCAGCTCTGATAGCTCAATGGCTGATATGCCTGATGAAAGCCACTGATCTGGCTCACACAGAACAGCGGTGGGCAAAGAGATGAGCATATTAAACATTGCTCATGCCTTGTTTGTTATGTTGACAACACCATACGCTTTAAAAATTGCATTTGCATGTATCTAGCATATGAGTAAACAGATATAATTCATTAAGAGCGATCTGACTCTGGAATCATAGGATTTTACAGTACAGCAGGGGGCTATTTGGCCATCCTACCTGTGCCTGCTCAACAAAGGAGTTTTCATTTATTTCCATTCTCCTGCCCCTTCCTTGCACCTTTTTAAATTTTGAACCCTCATAAATGAAATCTCCTTAACTCAATATTCTTTTCTCTCTTCTTTCCCTTCTCTGATATTAATATTCAGTATGAGTCCTCTAAGATGCCAGATATATGATTGGCTCTCAGCACAATGTTATTCTACAGGTGGTTGCTCGATGTTAAATGTTACCCTCATGTGTCCATCTGTATTTCCTGCCTCTCTCTCTTCAAAGGAACTCACAATGTGATGAATAGCAAACTTATATTTACATCCTCCCATTCTAATATGCAATGTTCAAACAAGCTTAATTTTCAGCTCTCTGACTGGTCCGTTCATTTGATTATTTAAATACAGCAGTCAGCATTCAGAACTGATAATACTTGGTTTTACAACAGCTAAACAGAGAACATAGAACATAGAACATTACAGCGCAGTACAGGCCCTTCGGCCCTCGATGTTGCGCCGACCTGTGAAACCAATCTGAAGCCCATCTAACCTACACTATTCCATTATCATCCATATGTTTATCCAATGACCATTTAAATGCCCTTAAAGTTGGTGAGTCTACTACTTTTGCAGGCAGGGCATTCCACGCCCTTACTACTCTCTGAGTAAAGAACCTACCTCTGACATCTGTCCTATATCTAT